AAAATATAGGTGCAAGAACAACAGCATATAATTCACCAACGACGCGTCGCATACCTCGACGTTACATTGTAAGACATTTTTGCGAATTAAATTATTGAAGATAATATAACATATTATATGTTTGTGTTATTATTATCAAATTATCCCTTGTATTTTTATTTCAGACTGGAGTTAAAAATTGATTGGAATTAATTCTGATGACGAGTAAATTATACGATAGAATATCGTGTAATAATAAAGAGTAAAATTCTTATATTTTTGACGTGAGTTCAAAATTCTTTAACATAGTTAAAAGAGAAAAATTAGTGTAAATTCAGTTTTTAATCTGTAAAAAGAATATATACATTATAATAGCTAGTGGACAAATAAATTTACAATAGAAATCTAAAAATTATTAAATTATTGATTCTTATGCTGGAGAAAAAAATCACTTTTCGGAGTATTAACAAAAACTGACAATTGTTCATTCACATTCACCAAAAAGGTGAGGATTGACTTTGAATCGAAACAAGGGTTTATTACCAATTAAACTTCCGTCGTGTGCACATCGACCAAATTTCAAAAGTGAACTTTTAAATAATATTTGTTCTGTTTTGTTTTGAAATCCGGAGATTTGATAACACCGTAACAGATTTCTGTTTACTCAATCATTTTACTTCGTACAGTTCTCCAATTCACCATTGCTTAGAGTAAAGTCACAAACGAGGTATATGATACCTCGTCTGTGGTAAAAGCGCACTAAAAAACTAATCTAATAGGAATTAAAATAAGAAAATGGGAATAATGTTATTACATCTGCATCGAAAATTATTCATTGAATTAAAACGTGAACGCTTTTTTTATTTGCATAGATATTCTTAAGAGACGACCAATTTAATTTTTGACTGTAATATAATTATTTTCTACATAAATTAGTAGTCACAGACTTATAAATTAGCATTTAATACATGTCAACGGAATTATAAGTTAAAAACTACCGTGCAAACGTTAGTTTCATTTTGTAAAAAATATAAAAATTACAGTATTTATTGTTGCCTTAAATAAATGAGGGCTAAAACGACAAAACAATAAAACTGTAAAATTTTAAAATTTTAACAGTTAAACAAATAAAATCTAACAGTAAAATTTAAAATTTTAACAGTTAAAATTTTAACAGTTAAACAAATAAAATCTAAAAACAATAAAATTAGTGATTACGGTAATAAAAAAAGTGTATTTTGAAGTATTGACAAAGACTACCACTTGTTGTGCATCATTGACTTTACTTGAGCAAGGAAAAAGGTCATTATAAGTTGAACTCTCATCGTGTGCACATCGATTAAACTTTCGAAATGAATTTTTAAATATTATTTCTGAATATTCTAATTGTTTAAACATTATCTAATATTTCTAATAATTTACTTGCAATTGGACAATAAATCCTCCTCCGTAATCTTTCTAAATGTTATTTAAAACTTTTAACTAATAATTTATAATAATCTTGAACTATGTACTTAAGAGTAATGAATTACTGAATGAAATAATTAATTTAATTGTTTAATCGTAACATAAAACTCGTGAAAATTATTAAATCATGTCTAGAAATATTGTAGAAATAAAATAATTTAATTGTCTCAAATGAATTGTTCAAACTGTAAAACAATTCGATGATATTCTTGTGCATTATTTAACTATTTTAACTACTTATTTACAACAGTTGAATCAGTGATTGAATTCCCAAACGCTATTTCATAGTTTGAATAATTCATTAATAACAATTAAAGTATTTTATTTAAAATAACGGAAAAAACAGTTACATAATATACATATTTCTTGCTCTTTGAAAGAATAAACGAGCCAAAATTTTTATGTATTGCGCGATTATTCTAAAGCAACAATCGCCGCTTAATTTAATTTTTGACTACATAATTTTTCTCTACATAAATTACTATTTAATATACATCGATACAGTTATAATGTAAAAATTAATATCACGAAAATATAAATTTAGTTTCAGTCGATAAAAAATTAATAAATTATTACATTTAACATTGTAACATATTCATGAAAGTGTAACTTTGTGATAGAAATGTAAAAACTATTAAATTATTGATTAGTATAACAGAAAAACTGTTTTACAAAATACTAAAAAAATTATCAACCGTTACGGATCACTGACGACCGAAACATTAGATTAACCTTGCGAGATAAGGAGATTCAATTAAACTTTCGCCGTGTTTTAGAAGTTTGAAAAAAAAGTTGTCAACATTAGATTAACCTCGAGCGGCTTAGAGATCATTATCAATTAAACTTT